GGGGGGGGGGGCATATCCCACCCACGTGTGGCCTCGCAAATTTAAATTCAGCCTCCCTGTACCGGCGAGTAACACGTACGACCCTATAAAAGTTTGGGCGGGCGAAATTTTTATCACAGGAACCGCAGAAGCTAGGAGGCTGAAATTCCGTGGGCAGTTTTCTTTTATGGGCACTCCAATTTTTGGCGGGAAATTACTCATTGAACAACCAGGTCATTTTCAATGAATGACTGCTAGACGGAAATTGTTTATCTTCCTTTACGGAAAATTTACGATGATTTACAATAATAAGCGCACAAAGTAGGCGTGAAGCAACAGTCATTCATGCAGTTCAAACAACCAACGAACTAACCTCAAGTGTGGTGCAAAAACGCATGATCGCACCGACAAGCGTGGCGCGTTCCAGCCTGAATTCATCTCCAGACCTGCAAAACCTACAAGACTGAAACTGTGGGAACTTAATCTGCATGCATATACGGACACTCGTGCTCACACCGTCAGCATGTACGGGGCTGTGAAAGTTTTTTGGAGGTAAGTTGCTAATTCGAGAACCTGAAAAGCCAGAAGCCGGGGTTTTAAGGAGATGTTTCCTGTCCATGTAGGATTTAATGGATTCATACCGAGCTTCCAAATTTTTGCGTGGTTCCCACGCAGGGGTCCATGAAAACTTTGCGGGTAATTTGCCACCTCGTGAAGCGGAGAAACTAAAAAACTGGAATTTTAATGGGATGTTTCCTGGGGCCCCACAGGTGGTGGGCACATACTCCCGAAGTTTCTGCTTTCTAGCTTTTTTGGCTCCCGAGTTGAAAATGAGTGACAGGAAGTGCGAACACACAGACAGACATTCACACATCCACTTGCCAATATGTGCTTTTGCACTGGCACGTTGTGTAACAGCAGCACAAAACGCATATTGTCACGGGGTTGTTTGTATATATGTGTTTGGGTGTGTTCGTCCCGGAACACCCAAGTGCGACTCCGTAAATTCAAAATTAGTTTCCAGTTAAGCCTGGGTCTCAGTTACGCTCCCAATAAAATTTCGGCGGGAGAAATTTCAATCACGGAAGCCATAAAAGAAAGGAAACTGAAATTTTGGGAGAGTGCCCTTTGCCCACAATACGATATCGCAAAACCAAAATCAGCTTTCATACCCCTGGGTCTCTTGTGCGACCCCGCAAAAGTTTTGGCGGGGAAATTATTATCTCGGAAACTGGAAGAGCAATGAGGCTGAAATTACAGGAGGATTTCTTCTGCCTGTTCAGACCTCACAACTCAAATTTAACCCCCTATTACGCCGAGATCTTACGTACGACCACGTGAGAGTTTTGATGCGAAAGTCGTTAACTCGGAAGCCGGAAAACTGGGAGGTTGAAATTCGGAAGAGCGTTCCCCGTCCAAGGTTCCAAATTCGGCTTTCACGTATCGGCGCGTTGAAATTTTTGATGAGAAAATTTGTAGTTTAGGAGCCGGACAACATATCAACTATTTTTGTTTGCATGGAAGTGTAAAATAGCAGGTAAACGCCCGCTAAACGGAATTGCGTAGAACGCATGATCGCACTGGCAACTCTGATGCGCGCCGCTATTTATTCTAAGACTGTCATGTTTTTGTTTTGGTTGTTACCTTTAAAAAACATTATTGCTTTCATCAGCCACACTTCGTTGCGCCTATTTTGGCCATTCATGCACCTGGCAGCTTCCTTACTTTACTCTCTTTTAATTCCCGCTTATTCGCATGATTTTGTATGAGAAAATAATGGACTGCGACAAATTTTAGTAATTATTATGGATTCGACACAATAGCGGCACATCCGACTCATTCTCAGGCAGCCCGAGCGGCTAATTTAACGTGGGCCGCGCTTATTTTTCGGCGGATGGTTGATCGACAGGAAATAAGACCGGTTTGGTTTTTTTCTTATTTAGAGACTTTTTTAATGATTGGGAACGGCATAGCAGAGTGACAAATGACATCAGAACTTACAGGCCTACTTTGCTGTCTTTGAAAAAAGCTGCTAAAAAGAAGTAAGAAGCCATGCAAATGTGAAAACGAATATAAAATTACAGTTTTTCCGGATTTTTTGTGTTTTGTAATGGATGCTAGTTTTGCAGAAACGTACTTTTCATAGATGTCGTTGGCAAGCAATTTCTTTGATTTTCTGATGACAGTTTGGCACTGAAAAACAGATCACTGCCTGGTCCATCTTCAGTTTGCTTTTAAGTGGTCCATTGAAATAGGGACTGTCAGAATTTTGCCAACGAAGAAGAGCCTGTCATGCAGGCACATTCTGAGAGAATGCATCTTGCATTTCCTAGCAGCTTGAATGCAGCGGGAGTTCAGGTCCTCATTGCCGCTTCCGAGAGAACGGTCATAGCCACAGCAATATTCAGCATTCTTTCTCAAGTGGTGAATGACAAATTTTTGTTTTTTACTCCGGAAAAATACTAGCAATTTGACATTTTTCCTTCACATTTTTTGCATCACTGTTAGCATGTTGCTGCTGATTTTTTAAAGGGAAGGAACCTCTCAGCAAATCTCTTGCTATTTTGTACTCCTCATGGTACCCAAATTTTCTTTCCGTCACTCCGGAATATCCTTACATGTGTATGAAATTGCATGAATTTTGCAGTTTTCATTTCTGTCGCGGTATAAAATACCGTTTTGCACGGCACAGTACAATAGACTGTTCAACAGTTGTCGAGTGCCGGATTTTGAGAAGGATCAGTTCCATCACTGGGACGATTCCAAGCACATTGTCGTTTACTGTAACGGGTGCTGGTTTCGTCTCGCTGTGCACACCGGTAAACGGTTGGTGTTCGTCACTTTTTGTTATTTCTCATTAAATTTGCTGTTATTTGCTACGCAAAACACTTCCAGCTGCTTCGTTGGTAAGTGATGGGCATTGCGCGTCCTTCGGGAGAAACAAGCACTGGCAGTTTCCAAAGAGATGATACGTGCGTTACGGAAACGGCTGACACAGGCTAGAGCACAACTCAGGTCGAGGTGTACGTTCCGCTCGGGAGTGCTTTGGGTAATTCCATGCATATTGGTCATAGCTATTGAAGCTTCTACCTACAACTGGGGTGCGTTGCGTTCGTCGGCTAACTTAGCTTCGCGTGGCGTATACTTTATTTTGACAGCACTGGACAGCTCCACGACTAGAAAACGAATTTGCTGGTCTTGATCAGCGCCTCCATATTCTCTTATCTTGGTGGTCATTTTCTCTTATTTCCTGTTATACTTAGAATCCCTTTGCTCTGTTTCTTTATCTTCAAAATGTTCTGTTGTGGTCAACTTCATATGTACTTCGTTTCGTTCATTTCTGTTGGTAGTTCCAAATTTTGGTTCTTTTCACAACAAACAAGACAGTATGAACTACGCGGCAAACAGTCCCCAGACAGATTAAGCTTCCTACTTCACTTTGCATGCAGGATTATTTTGAGTTGATTCCGAAGCGCACCGAGAGGAATATCACAAGAAATTCATATTTTACAGCTTATATGAACCAGCCGAGTTGCAAAGGGGCTTTGAGGCAATTTTGGACGAGAAGGTTGTTCCGGAGCAGGGCGAGGATTTTATAGCGGCTCTGACAGCGGGAGATCGCGATTCGTGGGCAAAAGCACGCCGAAATTATTTTTCTACCGGAGTGAACAGAATTTCGCTGCACGCAATTGAAAGAGCTGCATTCGGAATCATACTAGATGAACATGAAGTATTCTACGACCAGGTGCGCTTTCCATCGCTGGCTGCTCGCTCGTCCACCTCTTTGAGAGTTGAATGAAGATGAATGAGACCTAAAACCAACTTCAGCAGAATGGAGATATAATGTGCGTATATATGTATGCATATGTATATATATGCATATATATATATGTATATACATGTATATATATATGTATATATACATGTGTGTATGTGTATATGTATATATATACATATATATATACATATATATATATACATATATATATATATATATATATA